ATTCTGAGGTCATCATGGTGAGGTCTCTATGTGCTTCACACAGAATGGCAGGTTATTTTCAGAAACATCACTTCATCTGTTTTTTTGTTCTCTCGGCGAGGTTGCAGAGGAGGCTGTGGAGTGATGAAATCCTATTTTGTTCCTCTGACTAGTGTTGACTTTGCTGTTTTGGAACATATAGATGTGAGTCATGATGTACTGTGTGTTTAACATAATATAAAAACATTATGTATACATACACATAAATACATTAAATACTTAAAACCAGTAGTATGCAAATCAGTAGTACAGCATAATATAAAAACATCAATATCCATCATGCATATGTAACTCATTTATTGTTTATATTTACTAGTAAAGGTACTTTAAAAAGGCTTTGATGCGTTAATTCATCATTCAAATCTATTTTAATGCATTTCTCATGTCATCTTCATATCAGTGAGACCTGATTTCCAGTATAGGCGTATTTTTAATAGACGCCAATAAGAGCAAGTGACGAGCCAGTGTATTTCATTGAAAGTATTTCTACTCATTCATAGTCTAAATCTATGTCTCCAGGTTAATGGACAGGCCGTGGAGGTCCAGACTGGTCTGTCTCTGCTGGATAAGGCCCTGAGTAATGCGATGAAAACAGTGAGAAACTCTCCTCTGGCCAATGCGCTGGATAACAACATCAGTAACATCCACAGCCTCGGCCAAATCCTGCACAGTCTTGATTTACAGGTGTAAAACTGCTGATGCGTTGTGACCATGAGCACATGTGTCTGTCACAGCAAGGTCTATTCTGACTGTATTGACTATTCTGACATCCACAGCCAGCCTCTTTTCTAATTTGGCATTCTAGGAAATTGTGCAAACGTGCAGCGTAGTCGGTTTACACTTTACTTCCCCTCGCTCTTTTTTAGCTACAGTCAAAGTGGCGGCATGATTCTGGGAAATGTGTTTTGTTTCTCCAAAGCTTCAGTGACTGTGAGGTGAATTTTCATGCCATGCTGTACTGTGGAGCTGCATATATATATATATATATATATATATATATATATATACAATTTACACTGTTATACAAGCTGTACACTCACTACTTTACATTGTAGCAAAGTGTCATTTCTTCAGTGTTGTCACATGAAAAGATATAAAATATTTACAAAAATGTGAGGGGTGTACTCACTTCTGTGAGATACTGTATATATGCACACACACACAAAAATTCAAATATGAATTAATAAATGTCAGTTGAATAAAATTACAGTGACAATAGAGATACATAAATACAGCATGTGTATATATACTGCAGACTATACTGCGGTTAAAATAAGTTTAGTCTAAATGGATTTTTCCCGCTATAGTAAACCAGAGTTCCAATGTATGATTCATTACTTTCTGTAACTATGAGAATGAATTGAAGGCTGCATCAATAAAATGCAATCATCATCAGTGAACCATTCCCACTGTGCTAAAATATGAACTATGCTTAAAATATAGGGTATAACACACAATACACTTGAAATGGGAGTGGAAACTAGCTTAGTAACCAAAGTAGGCTAGTTGATTTTAGCAGTAGAAAATAGTCTTGGTTGGTTTCGTGTGTTGTGATTATTTTATGAGGCGATCCAATCAGATCTGAGAGCTGCAATCTATTCAATTTTAGTTTGTGGGATGATAAATTTTCCCTAACGAGTCCATTCTGTTTCCACAGCAGGCCAGGTCCACAGTTCTTCTAGATGATTCAGCTCCTGCCAGCACACAGACGCAGGAGGTCTCCTCTCTCCCAGAACTTCTGCAGGTGCACAGCAGTTTCCTGCGAGGGAAAGTCAGACTCCTGCTTTCAGCTGCACCAGCATGCCAACGGCAAAACAGCTGATGCGAGCTCAGAGGAGCTCGGGAAATGTTTACAACAGTCAGACATACACAACAAACCCGGACAAGAACACTTGATTGTGACACACTACCCAATCTAAAATCTAAAATGCTTTCCAGGTGTCGCTCTTCAAATGGTCTTCTGCATTCGAAAGCCTGCAGTCATGTTTCTAGAGTATGCATCATGCGAAAAGAGAAGCAAAACAGCAGTGACACCTTGACTTATTCAACAAGGCGAACATGGCAGAAGATCCTGCAGAGGAACATTTCAGAGCCAACAAGTGGACTCAAAGGCTTATATCGGTGTGGCGAACAGCTTGTCTGGCTGTATCCAGCCACCTGGACTACAGTACATCTGAGACACTTTTATTTAATTATATTTGTATGTTCAGTTTTCTACAAATCCATGAATTGTGCTGCCATTTGTTCATTTTTCAGTAGGAAGTGTACGCACTCTACAGGACATGTCCTTTTCTGAGGTGTGTACATTTAACGGCAGGACCAAAGGTCTTTTTTTGAGGGTTCAGCAGGGTTTGCCAAGTGGACTCAATGCTGTGAGGCTGTGTGAAGTATGCTTCCATCTAGAGGACAAAACAGGAAGTTTAAATGAAACTGTAAGTATACATAAAATTAGTGCATAAAATATATTTTTAAAGTAGACAGTTTAGCACAACAACATGCGAATAAGGAGACAGGTCTGTCAGTGTGTTTAATAACCTTTTTTAATGTTGTCCAGTTCAGATACACAACATACAGTGTGTAGTAGCCTGTATAGGAAATAGAAATATGAATTTCATTCTTTAGACCCATTGCGGTCATACAGTCCCCTCATCTCAAGCCTTTTTTACATTGCTGAAATTCAACAAAATGAAACTCAACAGGTGCAAGTCTTTTTTTGGCGACCAAGCATTAATACTCAACAGTTGTGTTTCTCAGTATTTTTTTTCTTTAAATCCTCTATAATACACAGGCAACCCAGACAAAAAGTATCACCATGTATGTCTGGTGAGAGTGTGCTTTATATGTCTGTCAGTTGCCGGTAGAATCATCTCTCTCCCTTTATTTTGTAGAAAAATATGAACTGTTTAAATTCTCTACTTTGAAATATATGCAGCTCAAATTCACGACAAAGAGATAAGCCAGAACTCTGTGGAATCCCACCCCCACTCCAACACATCTCCAATGGTTTGGGTAACATTAAATTTCTAAGAACTTACAACCAGGTAAGAGAAAAAAACACCCCACAGTGTCATTTAGTCCACTGAAGTGTAATGAAGAACACCCAGGAGAATGACTCAAACAGCAGGCCTCTCAGAAAAAAAAACAGGGCTGACTCAAGCGATTTACATCCTACGGCCTCGTACGAGGAAATAAAACGAGCTTCTCCACATAAACTTTCTCATTTAACGCTCCCCAACAAAATATTCTGATTAGGCCCTGATCGGTTCCACCCTCCGTTTTTCAAACGAAACAGAATCAGATGCAGCCAGCGACTCTATTGTCCACCGCATTGTCGGGTCTTGCAGCAAATTTTAATTCCAAATGCAATTACTCTCATCAAGTGCGCTCATTCTTGACTCTATATATTCTCTAATGTGGAATTCGCTTAGTTTCCGCTTCCCTCAACATTCATTACAATTTAATGTCTTTCGTCGAAAAAGAAGCTTTAGTATCTGTAAACCTTCAAATGAAAATCTAGTAAGGGTATTCAGAATTGTGGGTGGAGGGATGTGATTGGCTGAATGAGCTTGCACCTGTTTTTACAGTGGATATGATTGGCCATGAACCCAACAACAAACAAAATATTTACAAAGACCATGTCATCTCTTACACTTATAAAAATGTACAGTTTGCATCTTGTATTTTTCGTCATGGCATGACAGAAGGTGGTCTTGTGTGTTTTCCATCCACCCACCGACAAGAAACTCCAAAAACAAGACGAGAGAACAAAAAATTTATGGAGATGAGAGCGGTATGCACAGTTGCTTGCATTATGGATCGTAAATGTAAATTTAAGTGGCGTGAGGAGTGACGCCTCGTCCACTGTAGCGCAATACGCCTCTTCAGGCTGCGTTTAGTTCCTGACCGCCACCACGGCTCAAACCTGATGCACAAAGCTTCCAGAGTCAGTATCCAGAGCTCATTTAGGGCCACATCTGTCCTGCTCCTCATACACTCACACTTACATACGCACACGTGAATGCAAACCGCCCCGTCTCCCGCTTCCTCTCGGCCAGATCGTTCTTGGCATCCTGAAAGAGAGATTTCAGAAAAAAAACACGTTGAGAGGTGAGAGGCTGAATCAGAAGGTCTTACGAGGACTTGTGACAGGGCATATAACAAGATGTCCGCCTGATGACAAGCGAGCTCAAACTGAGATAATCACTCAAAGGTCAGTGTCAGTGAGGGGGAAGAATGTTCTGGACACGTCATGAGCTCTCTTGTGCTCTGGATAAAAGAGAGAGACGGAGAGACTCCAGCTGTGCGGGAACGGGCGCAGGTGTTGATCCCGTCGCTCTGGACGTCCAACTCAGCAGAGTCCGAGTCTTTACGGAGAGAGAGAGCGACACAGCGAACGTTCCTTAACTCAATGTGGCGTAATGCGCGGGTTACTACAGAGGACTATATGAGCGGAGAGAGATAAAAGGGATAAAAAAGGAGAGGAGGGGATCGTGGATCTGATCAGTCCTTCTCTGAGAGATGAGCTTTGTCGCACAGCTTCCGTAATTATAAATGAAAAAAAGAAGGGAACTATTTATCCTCTTTATTATCGTCAAGAATCAGTTTCATTTCCGGATATGACCATGTATCTACAGAGGGAAAAGAATCTCCAAATGAAGTGCACAAAATACAGCTGATGTAAAAAAAAAAGAGAGAGACAGAGAAAAAAAGAGAGAAGACTGTTGCAGAAAAAGACAATAAAAAGACAGAAAGAAGAGTCTTGAATCTCGAATGTCCATTTTACTCTTAAAAAATAAATCATGCAAATTTCCCAAAGCGCAATCAAGATATAAATTTAATTAATCTATATCTTTTTATATAGATATTTGTAGTGTTGTTCATTTCTCTACATAGGCAAATAACAGTGACAGTGCAAAACAAAAAGCAAAAAATAAACATAAAAAATGAGAGAGACCAAAGAAAAGAAAAACAAATTTGGCACTTTTTTTCTCAATTCTGCAAATTCCTTGAATAAATCCAGTTCAGGTGATTCTCTCCACGTCCGTCCACTAGACTGCGTCTGATTGGACGATGATCACAGTACTTGGCACAAGAATGCTGGTAAAAATTAGATAGTAGAATCTTTTTTTCATTCATAGCCTTATAAGGTTATCAATAATACATTTTTTACACGTATGTTTTCTTGATTTATAAAACAGTCCGAAGTAGGAAAAACTGTTCTTTTTTGGGGACTAGAAACGGCTACAGCAGAGCAAAAGACTCGGGGAGAAGAAAAGAAAAATAAGGGAAAGGTGGCAATGAAACTTGAGGGGGAAAAAACAGGAGAAAAAAATAAAATGGTAGGGGATAGCTGCTGTATTGAGTAGGGAAAATGGCCAACATTTCTCCACCCAAAATCTTCTCCAAGAACGAGAGGAGCAGGAAGAGTAAAACAAGAAAGAATGAGAGAGAAAGACAGTGTGCTGGGAGTGGACTTAAAAAGGACAGGAGCGGTGTGTTGGACAGTATCCGTGTAGAGCACCACTCTTAGTACCGGAGGTCTGTGTTCCTATGCGTTTGGGGGGCCTGGTCCCCTCAGAGGGGTTACTATACTCGTGTGGTGGAGTGCTGGTGGGGCAGGGCGTTGTTGCTATGCCCAGCACTCGGTGCAGGTGCAGGTGCAGGGGGGTAAGTGTTGAAGGCATGGAGGGGCTGCATGCCAGTGATGGTGCTGGGGATCATGGAAAGCGCGTTAGCCGTCATAAGTGGCACGTCCTCAGGTGCCCGCCGTAGTGCCAGAGTGTAGTCCGGCGGGCACACGGGTGGTCTTAGAGGTTCCAAGTCGCCATGTAGACCACGCGGTGGTAGAGGCGTGCCGTGGTCGAGCTCCACCCTCTGCTGCTTCATCTGCAAGGACATTAGCTCCTCCTCCTGGCTCAATGCCAGGTCGTTATGGGGCGGAGCCCCCACAATGCCGAGGCCCGGCCCTGCCCCACGTTGAGGCGAGAGGCGTCGATGGCGGCGTTGCAGCAGCTCGTGCCGTTTGTCGCGTTTATAGTACAACGCGGCAAACGCTAGCACGTTGAGGAAGAGCAGCGACGCGCCCACTGCTACTGTCACGCTCAGCTCCGTCGAATAGTCCCTTGTGTCACTCGGGAATGGGAAGCGTTCAGGAGGGTGTTCAGAACCTTCGAGGTCCGGGTCGGGTGGGTAGGTTGAGACCGTGGGGTGGCGAGTAGAGCGTGTGCCAGGGCTCTGGGCTGTTCCCTTCCAGCCGGGCCGGTGCGGGCTGCCAGGGGGCAGTCGCGTGGTTATGGAGCTGATGATCTCCACATGAAGGGTGTGGAGGTGAGGAACCAGCTCAAGCCAGAAGGCAACTTTGTTGGCACGGTAATTATCCCGGATGCGAGGCTTCAACCCGATGTGGAGGTACTGCTTGTCTTTAGAGCTGAATTTGGTCCAGATAACTTCCTCGAAGCGATTGGGCTTAGTATGGATGAACTTGGTATCCTGCGGTACTGGAATGTTCGGATCACTGGAAAAAAAATATTGAAACAAAGTGAGAAGAAAATAAAAAGACAGAACTGCATTTGTATTCTGGTCTCACTGGATGAACAAATTTGGACAGATCAAACTCTCACCCTGTCTTGGCGAAGTTGGTCCAGTATGTCATCACCACAGCGCTGAGCATGACATCATTCTTGGAAAAGTTGCAGGGAAATAGATCTGTGGCTCCCACCATGGGTACACCGAACACATACGGGATCTCGTCGCCATGTGCTGCGTCTGCCCACTCAGGTCGTGCCTCCGTCTGGCAGTGGTGGTGGAAGGTATAAAAATAAACAGGGGACTGGAACTCAGCATGCAGCTTAGCTGTAGCCACTGCTGGCGCCACCCACTGGTGGTCGGTAAAAAGTGCAAGTAGAGTTTTACGCCGCATGTCCCCGTTGTCGCGGTCAGCCCAATCTGTGTACATGAACTTTATAGTCTCCCGCAGTATGTCTTTACCTAAGAAGGGACAGAGAGAGACCAAGAGAGAAAAAGATGGATGTTGAATGTTGAAAGACAGAGTTGGTTGTCACACAAAGCAGGGCACCTTGACCCAATATAGGAGACAGTGAGACAGAAGCACCCAAGGTGAGGGGTAAAATTAGACTGATTACCTTGAACAACCGCTAAAAGAACGTGTAGATGTGTATGTCAGTGTTGTCTACAGAAATCTGTGGGACTGTCCTGAATGGCACACCTGAAGTACATCTGATGTACACCTGATAATACGTTTTCTCAATGCACACGTATGCACAGATTTCACAGATCTACTTTAGACCTCTAAAGCAAAAATGTTCTTTTAATAGGTACTCCATTCAGTGCTTGATTAGAAACCCTACAAAATAATTTCTATCATGACAACTCTCTGAAGATTTGAGCATGGTAATGAATATGACAATATTAATATATTTGGTCTTGGCGGAATAGATCTGCTACGTTGCTGCTGCTGTTGGTTATTGTTGTAGTTGTAGATTATTGCTGCTGTTGCAAGCAAGTACAGGAACTTGCTACTGCCAATGCATACGGTGATACGGTGCTGTGAGTATTTAAAACATACTGCTGTTGCACAAATAGCATATAAAATAACCCGTAGCAGATCTATACAGGTGGAGCTGGGGAAGGTGGAGGGTTTCAGAAGAACTCTGAAAGCGCACTGCAAAATGCTCAAGTCAATGTCTCTTCACACCCCGATAGCAATCATTAAGTTAAGTGGTGTAAATGTATTTATCTGTATTTAGATATCTGTGGAAGGCGTAGGACCAAGAAATGTTCGTCTAATCAAAACGCTCGGAACTTTCCTTCCTGCCTGTCAACATATGTATTTGCATACCTCTGCGTACCCTGTTCGCGCAGACAGGATACATCATCAGCGCGGTCACGTACGCTATTGCAGACAGAGCGAGAATGGCAGGCAAACATCAACAACCCGATCTTCCTTCCTGGTATTGTTGTACTTTTACTAACTGTGCTATAAAGTTTTCTCACCAGTGAATGACACATCTGCGTACGTATATGCATTCAGGGGGCGTGGCTTTGAATGGCGATTTGCAGGGAGGGTGGGACGTTCACATTCAGTGCTATCAGGCTAAAGTTAGCATTTTCCAAGATCTCCTACTGCACCTTTAAGAATCCATCAGCCTGCGCTATCTAGAGTTTCATGAAAGAACTAGGCATTTACATTGTGTTGAATATTTAAATATGACCAGTGTTGTATTTTAAATCACCCCATTTAACTCTGCATGTATTCAAGTCAGTAAATAATATAATTTCTTTTGACATTGTGCTGTAGATTCAGTGGCAGCAATGGCAGGGCAAACATCAGCCTATGTGCAAGTGACTACGGGTGTATCATTGAAACTCACCATCTGGGTATCCATAGAGGTTGTCCACAAAATTTGATATGGTGTAGTCGAAGGAAGCGGCTGAAATACCATCCTCACCCTCACTGTCATCTACAAATTTCAGCCCTTCACCCTGGTTCACCCCCAACAAGATGTCGTAGTTCAGGAACTCCCCCTGAGGACATTACACATATGTCACCCATTGTACTCACTTTCGCTAATTAACTGTCAAGATTAGACTCTAAACTCTGAGACCCTGCTTTGACTAAAATCACACCTGCTGCATGAGGATCTCAGGGTCATCGGGTACCACATCTCCATCCACCACCGGTCCGAATGCGATGTGGTAGCGGGCAGGTTGGATATCCTGATCCACCAGCTCCCTGAAGCTCTTCCTTCGCAGACAGTCCACCAGATCTGCAGTGTCGCTGTAGCTGCAGCCCACCTTCTTGGCCAGGATCTTGGTGTACATCAGGGGCCGGTAGTTGACTGACCAGCTGGATATGGCGGAGCCACTCTGAGCAATGGCCCTCTGGAACAAACCTGAAACCAGGGCCAGTTACAAGACAATGACTAAGAAAAGTCAAAGAGCAGGCTATAATGTGAGTGAGTCAATGTGGACAGAGTGTGACCCGTGACCCATGACCATGAGCAAGATAAAGCCACTGAGTATCTTTTATCATCACAAAAGGAAGGCCATTGGAACTCATTTCTATAACAATAAATGCTTTCCAGGCTGGTTTCTTAATTTCATAATATTCACTTCAGAATAGAGAACACATTTTTTACTTCAGAACAGAAGAGATGTTTAACTTCAGAACAGAACAGAACCTTAACTTCAGAACAGAAAAGAATATCATCTCAATTTTAGAAAGAGATCAGAATTGAATCTTATTTTCAGAACAGAACAGAAGCTTAAGTTCAGAAAATAACAGAACAGATTCTTAACTTCAGAAAAAAAGAACAGAACAAAATGGAATCTTAATAGAACACATTCTTAACACATTTCTTCAGAACAGAATCTTAACTTAAAAAAAAAGATCAGGAAAGAATAGAATCTTAATTTCAGAAAGAATATAACAGAATTTTAACTTCAGATCAGAAGAGAATTGCAAGAATACATTTTTGCATTTGGCAGACACTTTTATCCAGAGTAACTTGCATTGCATTGAAGGCAAACATTTTATCAGTTCATGCATTCCCTGCAAATCAAACCCATGAACTTGGCATTGCTAGTGCCATTCTCTACTGTTTGAGCTACAGGAATGCCAGAATCCCAGAATGCCAGACAACGGTTGGCCTTGTGTACTGGCTACAATAGAGAGGTGAGGTGCAATGTGTATTTAACCTTTAAAAATATTCAATTAAACAGTGTGTCATGTAAATTCGGACCAAGACTGTCAATGTCGTCACAGACTTTTGGACCTTACTGTATATGAAACTGTGCTACCCATCTACAAGTAAAGTTCTGAAACTAGTTTTAATGGTCAGAGAAACATGTTGCTAAGCTAAAATGGTGGAAGTCTGCACAGTAGAAAGGTCATGCTGGCTTCAACAAGGCATAACCAATAACAGCATGAACCAACAGTCAGGGGCTCCTTTTAGTATGTGTTGCAAATAGGGCAGGTAGAAACTCTGATTCATTACTTGAGTGAAAGTAACAAAGTGAGCTCAGCAGTGTTCAAAAAGGCTCTGGATAAGCATGAGGAAACCATCTTGGCTTTCAGAACCCTGCTGCACCGTTATGTAAAGTGCCCCATGGTTTTCATCTGCAGATTCTGTTATTAATTATTAAAATGTTTCAGCACCCCCCCCTTCCAGTCACACACGCACACACACACACACACACACACACTATACTCTATTACAAGACCCCCCAGCTCCAGTTCCCTATGAAATCAATTAAGAATCAGCTCAGCTGCAGTCCAACACTTCTGCATCACACACACATAGTTGTACATGCTGCTCATTATAAATTTGTCTCACATTTCTCCATTTTTATCACACAGGACTCATTATAAACTGGCATCAAATGCAGACGCACGTGTGATCTCGAGATAGCGGTGTAAATCAGTCTCGCACACACACAAACTCACACACACCGCAAGGCATTGCCTCTCACTTTCACACAGCCGCACAATATATCAATATTAAAAAAATTCAGAACATAGAATAGTATATTGTAAAAAATATATAGCATAAATAGGGTTATAGACTTTCAAACAATTCCAAATATCCAAAAATAAAAGTCTTCCAGGTTTGGAATGGCATGAGGGTAAATGGGTCAATGACAAATGAGAGTGTCCATGATAAAGAGAAAGAAAATCCTATTCTAAAACACATCATGTTCTAAGAAATTTTTATCTTTCTACTGATGTTGGCTTTATAAACTATTTAAACCATTTTCAAGGAAAGTTTACATTTCATGAGTATAAAATATCACAAGGTGTCAAAAGTAATACATTTTTTACTTTGTGAGCGTAAACATTTTAATTCTTTTTTAAGTCATTATGTCAAACTACTTCTTTTCAATAAAAGCTTGCTTTTAAATGAGGCTAGCATCTTCATTATGATATCAGGACAGTTAATATTTTTGACTTTATGTCCATCTTGAAATAAAATTAAAATCATTGTACTATCCGAAAGACTGACCCCAAACCTCCTCTGATTAGAATGTTTTTCATTTCTGTATTAAAAGAGTAATATTATTAAGTAATATTTTAAAATATGACTACAATTTCAAATAACTGTTCTCTATTTGAATATATTTGAATATTTCTGAGATGCAAAACTAAAATTTCAGCATCATTATTTCTGTCTTCACGGTCACATGATCCTTCAGAAATCATTCTAATATGCTGATTTGCTGCTCATGAAACATTTCTTGAACATGATTAATGTTGAAAACAGTTGTGCTACTTAATACTTTTGGTACTTTTTGATACAGTGATACATTTTTTCAAGATTTTTGATGAATAGAAAGTTATATTGATGAATAGAAAGGAATTTATTTGAGATCTTTTGTAACATTATAAATGTCACGTTTGATCAATTTAATGCGTCCTTGCTGAATGTAATTTTTTTTTCAAAAGAAAAAAAATCTCACTGACCCCAACGTTTGAATGGTAATATGTGTAGCGAATCAGCTCATGGGGAAATATGAATAATTAATCATAACTAGTTATAATTAATTATAAATATTTAGATCCGCTGTAGATATTTACTTGACCTCTCAGGGTCAACTGTCTGTCAATTCTAAGAACGTTAATTTCCTGGTTAAGGGAGGGGTCTGTGTTTGTTAATCTAATGAATAATTGATTTGTTAAATCAAATGAAAAATGGTGTGTCTGATTGGTCCAGACGCTACATATGTGTATGAACTACACTTGTAGTTTTAAATGGATTTTTTAATAAATAGAGAGAGAGAGAGAGAGAGAGAGAGAAAAAGTCCAAATGAATAAATGTTCATTTTTTGGTGACCTTCCTTTAAATGATGGGATTTTGTATTGATGATCAAGGCAACAGAGTTTCAAACCTTCAGAATGATGGGACAGGATGAGAAGGTTGACGCAAGAGGCTCCAGCCCCAGAGCCAAATATGGTGATTCTCTCTGGGTCTCCTCCGAAGTGTCCGATGTTCTCGTTGAGCCATCGCAGAGCCTGAATCTGGTCCAGTAGCCCATAATTCCCCTTTGCAGACTGATTTCCAGTGCTCAGAAAACCTACGGAGAGCGAGAGAGTTAGACTGGAGATAAGATAACAGACAATGTGAACCAAAGGTATAAAAGACCATGATCAATACATGTTGACCAAGATCAAGCACTCTGAGGCCAAGAAGAGCAAAGTGCCTTGGTAAACTGAAAGAATAAGGCAAGACAGAGGACTAAAGCATTAATTGAACTAGTCATGTTCATTTAGAATTTAATGTTACCATTTGGAATGATTCCAATAGATTTGAACTTGTCATGAATAATATAGACTATGTTTGGTATAGCAAACAATACAATGAAAGCTTCAGCAGAACATATTATTTTAAAGTCAATATTTAAAACACTTTTTTCTCGTAAAATTTACCATGGTAATCAATGCATAATGAAAAATAGTAGACATTATACATTGTATACTGTACATTAGACATTAAGCACAACATTAGTATTTTCGAACCTTTTTAACTGATTCATTCAGTGACTGAATCCTTTGGTCTACATGACTCTGACTCACTCACCAGTGATGATGTCTACAGGAATGGTGACTGAACTAATGAACGAACAAATCAGAACCGTTCAAAAGAATCAAATAATTCTATTGCTACTCATAAATCTATTAGTCAAAAACATGTGACTTCAGTTGCAGTACTATAAAAGCTTCATTTAACATATTATTTGAATGTCAGTATTTTTTCTCTCATAAGACTGAAGTAAATTTATTTGTAAAATTGAGCATGTTTAATAATGCACATTATACATTAAGCAGTATGTTTGTGTTTTTTTTAAACAAATCTTTTGTGAGTGAATCAATGCTACAGGATATAGCCTACAGGAACGGTGACTGAACAAATGAAGTAACAAATCAAACTGCTTCAAATCATTCCATCGCTATAAATCTATTTATAATTGCTCAAAAACATATGTGTCTTCAATTACAGCAGCTTTGGCAGAACATATTTTCCTCTGCAACGCTCAGAACTGTGATCCTCAGGGGTGCTGGGGTGGGTTTGATGCATTAACTGTTATTGCTGCTGGTGAGAGGAGCTTTATTATCATCTTGTCAAGCCCATCTTTATGACGAGTCTAGCCGATTAACCAGTTTAGACATTTGGACTGTTGTTCTCTGGGTAGAAAAAGCTTAAAGGCACAATATGTAATTTTCGCAGCTAGAGGGCGCGTATTCAAAATAAACAAAGAGACAAAGGCGTAGTTTGATGACGCCGTGACTGAGTGTGGAATCATGGGAGTTATCGTCTTCATCCCCACAGCCGATGCAATCCGACGGGACTCGGGCAGAAATCATGTTCATGGATGAGCTTATGATTTATTAACGTAGTAGCATGAAGCAGGGTGAGGCTGAAAGCCGTCGAAGCAAAACCAGGCCGCTGAATGAGCGTAACACACGGCTCGAAAGCAGCGGAGCTTTTATTATGCCACGGTCGACCGCTTCCGCTCCTTCCGGTTGTGCATATGTGGGAAAAAAAAGCAGCGCTGTTTTATCATACTAGATACATGCCCACATCCACATACATACTTCAAAACAGGAGGCCCATTTACCATTACGGACATCCACAAAAAACGCATGCTACCGCTCATTAAAATGGGGCGTGTGTGGCTCTGGAGTCACAGTGTAAATGAGAACTAAAGAGCTTATGTAAGACCGTCTATTTTACTATTCTAACTGAACTGGTGATGCACTAAAAGCATGAAAATGTAGCGAGAAAAAAATGGCATATTTCACATGTCTAAGAAACCACTCTTCAGACTGTGAAAGACAGGCTTACTCCGTAATATTAAAAGAAATGGGGAAAAGACATAAGAGGGGAAAAAGAGATAAAAATAGACCCGTACTTAAAAGCTACGTGCCCTCAGACCCAATATAAGAGTCAGTGAGTGTGACTGTGTGTGTGTGTGCTTTAGAGAAAGAGAGCACGTCAAAGAAACTAAGAGGGATGAGTAGGGAAAAAGACAAACTGCCATGTTGTTTTCAGGAGTCAGGCCTGTGAGGAAGACGACAAGCGACAACATACGGCACATCATATTACAAACAACACACAACAGGAAAACAGATCTCGCACTCAATCTCGCACTCTACATATAAAAGGCTCCACTGGTGTGTTGTAGATGGAGGGATACACAGAAATAGAGCTCTTTGAAAATGTTCGTTACAGATGTTAAAAAAAGCTTTTAACGTCTGAAACTCCCACAGGCCGATAATGACTTAAAGGATACTGCTGCATCTGCTACATTAATTTACATGCTGTGCAAAACAGTAGCGTGTATTCATGACCGACGGCATCGTTTCCATCACAAAATAAAGCATTAGCAGTGATTAGCAACAATAAATATAGCCTATATTTTTGCATCTTTCTTTTAAATATCACCTAAACTACCTTTCAAAGATTTGGGGTCTGTACAACTTTTTTTTACACTCTGAATGAACAGTTTTTTTTAAATTGAGATTTATACATCTGAAGGCTGAATAAACAAGCTTTTCATTGATGTATGGTTTGTTAAGATAGGACAATATTTCGCAGACATACAACTATTTGAAAATCTGGAATCTGTGGGTGCAAAAAAATCGAAATATTGAGAAAACTTTGTCCAAATGAAGTTCTTAGCAATGCATATTACTAATCAAAAATTAAGTTTTGATATATTTATGGTAGAAAATTTACAAAATATCTTAATGGAACATGATCTTTACTTAATATTCTAATGATTTTTGGCATAAAAGAAAAATCAATCATTTTGACCCATACAATGTATTGTTGGCTATTGCTACAAATATACCCCAGCGACTTAAGACTGGTTTTGTGGTCCAGGGTCACATATTATTGAATATATATTATTAAATATGGAACCATTAATTCATATTATTAGATATGGAATCATTATTTTTGTGTAAACCATTAAGATCAGTGTTGTTACTGGTAACTAAAACTATTAAAATGGTTTTCATTAATTGAAATAAAAAATAAATAAATAAAAGCTAATTCAAAATATTAATAAATACTATAATAGTATATAAATAATAAAAAAATAACACTGATTAAGATTTTTTTATTTTACATTTTAGATAAAAAACAACAACAACTAATGAATCATAGGCTTAATGTTTTTGAAAGAAGCCTCTATGCTCATCAAATATATCATTATAATTTAATTAATTGCTTTCTAGATTTTCAAATTTACTCCTGTGATGGCAAAGCTGAATTTTCAGCAGCCATTACTCAAGTCTTCAGTTTCACATGATCCTTCAGATCAATCCTTTAGAAATTGAAAACAGTTGTGCTATATATTTAAAATGTCAAACTGACCCCAAACTACTAAACAGTAGTGTAACGTTTACGCCAAATCAAGAGCACAATTATGATGAATCTGTTTGATTGCAATGAATTCCACCCTAACAGTTTAAACTTAAGTAACATTATAAAACATCAAATACAGTTTTGTTTTATCTTCACATTAAAAAAATGTGAGATTCAGGGATACAGGTGTTTTTTTGTTCATACTCGCCAAGAAAAAAAAAAAAAAACTGGGGAAAACAATAATTTGGGCCACACTGAGCTGTGGTGTGACTGTGAACATAGCTCTATTGTCTAAATGACATTAATAGGACAGGTAACTGAATGTGTGCTAACTCACATCATAAGCGTCAGCCTCACGAGTCAAGGACAACCCGTAGAAAACAAGACAAATTACGTATTCATCAAACTGCTGGATCAGGCCACCACAGGCGAGTCCCTAAAGATGAATGAAGTCACCGAGTGCATTACAAATACAACTGTAGTGCAAATTAGTGGGGGAAGTGTGGATGTGAGGTATTTTTATAATAGTTTCATATTAGGTGAGTGTGAATCCTAGAGGTGCTGGATATGTGTCTGAGCAGCATGCACATTTCTGTAGGCACAGGATACCCGGCTGACCTACTTCACTGGGTACTGTATCCCACAATGCAACCTGCTCAACTTAACCTTCCATTTGTAGTCCGACAAATTATTTAAGGGATTTTTAACATCTCTGCTCAAACGTTGCCAGCGTCATATGCGGCACATTACGGGTCTTGTGACAGTAATTTAGCATACTACTTTAAACAGTTTGTTTCAAATAAAATGTTTTACATAGTATTTTTAGATAATAGTTGTGTCACAACACACTCGGGGAGCAAGTAACGAGGAAACGAGGAGTTCTTCAATATCACAATCTTTTTAATAATCCAATCACAAGGGGAACGTAGGAGACACAGGAACACATGGAAGGACATTCAGAACCGACAAACACTGACTGAAAAGGACTAGGGCTTTTAAACACAGGATAATTGGGGGAAGAACTAGACACACCTGGAATCAAATTAACACAATCAACGGGAGACAGAAACTGAGTCACAAGGAGCAAAAACACACACAGACAGGTCCATAACCCTGACATAACGCCCCCTCCCGGAAGGTGCGTCCTCGCACCGTAGAAACAACATGGGGAGGGGGTTCCGGAGGACGGATATCCGGGAGGAGGCCGGCAGACAGAGACCAGGGGGG